AACGCAGCTAATGACTATCTATTAAAATAGATCGAAGAGTTGTATGAACTATATCATGACTCTGCTAACATTAAACTTATTAAAATTTAGTGGCTTCGTTGAATTGGAATGGAAGAAAATGCTTTATCTAAAAAAGTGTTTAATTCGGTGGACTGTTTGAGAAAAACGCAATAGAAGAAGTCCGCAGAAGAATCAGATAACCAACAATAGAAAGCACTTGATACTACCAACTGGCGACAGCAAGATACTGTTCAGGTTAACTTGACGAAAATACTGGACACAGCCAAGAATGACTCACGACTTTCATAGGTTTAAAGTTGTAAACTTCTACTTGTAATCCAACAATTATATATGAACTCATAAATCAATATTTCCAAAGACCACTGATAATAAATAATTTGACAATTTGGAAAAAAGCCAAAAAAAATTAAATTAGTTCAATATAAAAATTTTATTATTTAATTCCATTTTTAAAAGTTTTCTGTTTATAAATTAGTATCAGCATCAAATTTGACCTCAAAAAAAAAATTGAATAATGAACTCTTAATAACGAATTAGCATTATTTAATTTAGAATATGATAAAATTAGGACAAGGACAAGGAATCTGTATCACATACAAAATGCTGGTAATACTGAGATTTTTAAATCGAAAACAAAACTTTTATACAAGTAGTTTTTAACTTAATTTCTGATACTTGTAGTCCAAAAACTATATACAGTCAAATAAATCGACAGATTTTTCCAATCACCAGTGATAATGGATATTTGGCGATATCCAGAGCAATTGTTGACCGTACAGTCCAAAAATTCACTTAATCAAAACATTTCTTTTAGAATTGACGTTATTGTTGTGTTTGAAGAAAGTAATTGCAGCAACGATCCCAAACAAGGAATAAAAAAGTTCTTTTTTTCCGTGATCAATACACCATATCGCAAGTTAATCACACAATGGAAAACCTACACTTATAATGGCTTATTCCTCCACTGGTTTCACCAGATCTAGCTCCTAATAAGTAGTAAGTGTTTGCTTTGTAGAGAAGAAGAAATTTAACACCAATAACGAAGTAATTGTATACCAAGTCGTTCTTCAATAAATGCATCGACATGTTTGACAAAAATTTTGGAAGGATTCACTTGTGAATATCCTCCATCCTTAGGGTACTGAACAAAGTCGATTATTATTCAGAAGTTATTGTTTTATTAGTTAACCTGCATATAACTGAAATGACTTGTTACCTTTTAAGAAACTTGGTTTTAATTTAGTTTGAGTCCAATAAAGAAATAATTTTCAAAACTGACGCCTAAGACGAGACCAAAACTAAATCGTTCTGAAAACACGAATCAAATATTTCGAGAAGAGTTAGAATGAATATATTATCCGTGACTATATTGATGAACAAATTCAAATATTATCTAGAAGTTATTGTTTCATTAATTATTCTAAAAACCATTTGAGTAATATATTAATGTGTTATATTTTCAGTTCAGTTTATTTCTAGATTTATATCTATATTTATATCAATATTTTCTATATAAAATATTGGTTATTTTTCTTATATTTATATTTGTTTTATAATTATTAAAGTTAAATACTAAAAACACTTGATCTATTATGTATTCAAAACAGAACGCTTAACACGTAATACCTTCCTTTTGAACCCATTAAATAATTATTAAAATATAGTATGTGGCTTAAACGAGCCAATATTTTTTAGTATTATTGAGTAAAAAAAAATTAGTCTTTAATATTTATATTTTTCTATATTTTATAATTATGTATATTGTTCACTTATATTTTTCTCTTTAAAATTGAAATATTTCAAACACTTAAAAATAATCCTCTTTAACTTTTCGCCAAATCCTTGGCAATTATTATTACCGGAATTGCTTTAAAAAAAAATGCCATAAAAATTGGTGGAAAAAGTATTTTGATGTATAAGTGCTATTCAAATAAGCAATTCACAGTCCATCTAAAACCTCAAACATTTTTGCATAAAAACCCATTAATTTCCGAGTTATTTTATTATTATATTTTTTTTTCTATTCTATTTTTGTGTCCTTTATATTCACTTCCGTTTAAAGCATATTTAAGGTTTCACTTTAACTTTTCTTTAAAAATGATATTAAACTATATAAAGTATCAAAAAACACGAAAAATTTATTATAAGTTAATTGTTGCTTAATTAAAATTAAATAAAAACTTTAATTTACTATTTACCTTTCGTTAATGAGTTTTTTTTTCTCAAAATTATTTGTAAATTACTAAATTTTATTTAAAATTGGTTAAGTATGCACAGCACGTACTTAGCGTTTATATTACAAATTTTATTTAAAATTATTTTTATAGTCGAATTTAGATTTTATTTTAATTTTATTTAAGTTTTATTACTTTTTCAAAACAATGTAATTTTAAAATTTTTTTCCATTTTTAACAATTTATTTATATATACATTTTTTTTATGATAAACTTTATTTTTAGTAACAACGTTCTTTAAAATTCAAATCATTAAAAATAATTTTAATTTTATTTTAAATTTATAACACTTAAGCAACAGTCATATAACAGTTTTAAAATTCACAGTCACAATAAAACGGAAATAATCCAATATCCAATTTTTATTCCATACACGAAGACCGTACGACAGCAACTAAATTGAAACCTGTTGCGTTGTCGCTTTTATACCCAAAGAGAACTCACCCTGTAAAGGAATCACAAATTCGAATCAAAAAAACCCAAACTCAATTTGATAAAAATTTTTCCACCCCCTAAACGCCCACAAATGGGTCAGTTTTGCACAACCGAGCCTGACAGACTCTGAATAAAAGTCCGCCATGTGAAACACTTTAACGAGCTTAACACGAACAGTCAACGAAGTAGGTGACGAAGGGATAAATTGTAAAAACAAATAATGCCATGCAATTGAATAACAACAATTGGCAGCAACAGGATAAAAAGTGTCCTACCAGAACGATTTATAATCAAAACAAAAAGTACATATTTTGTTCGGTCGTTTCGGGTACATATGTGCGCTATAAATTTTAAAAGTTTACCGAAACATAATAATTATATATCGACTGTTATTACGTAGTTCTTATGGTCCATTTTTCCAAAAATTTATCATCTTATAATATAAATATTATATTAGAATGATAACCATCTGTCTATTTTTCTTAATATGTTTTTAGATATATCTACTATGTGTCCATTTGTTCATTTATTAATTTTTTTTTAGTGGATTCTTTGCAATATTGATAGATGTGCACCAAACATGGTACGCTTTAGCTTGTTGTTATAGCGTTTCTCAACATAGGATAAGGAAAAAGTTTTAATAAGTGCACGGAAAATATATAAATTATTTTGTTTTCAATCATATCATATATACAAATATATTATATACAAATGTGGACTATGAATTGTTAAATAATAGATGCTCTAACAACTAGCGTCCTTACTCCTTGTTCTGGCTGTATCTTTGTTCTACAAAGAGGAAACCTGACAAACTACATCATTTTCTCTATGAAATCACTCGTTTTTATTTAGAGTACAACAGTACTTATTGGCAAATCTTAGTCGATTGCATTTTTCTAAGTGGAAATTGTGATTTGTTAGAATGACCATCTATTTTATTATATAGAGTAGACGCTCTAACCTTGATGTATTTAACGTTTCTATTAATAAAAATATCTAATAAAAAAGTTTTTAGTATATCAGAAAATTTTGAACAACTTTCTAAAGGTGATGTTTTCGAGGTTTGGTGTTTTGGTAGCGCCTTATGAAAGGCGACATATATATATTTCCCATAAGTAAAATACTATTAAGTGGATAATTTCCACTTAAAGGGTTGATTATAAAATTCTTAAATGTTATTAATTTTAAAATTATTATTAAGACAATTATATTCGACCAAATCAAGGAGCACTGAAAAAGGTGCATTTGTATGATAATTGACAATATGTCATAATGTTCATAATGATGATTTAAACAATATAAAAGATCATTAGAAGCTGAGGGTATTTTATTTGTCGTATGAAAACTATAAATTTTAAGTGTTTTCTTACGAATACGATATAAAAATTATATAAATTTGTTTGTAAAACTAATACGTAATACAAAATATAATACAAAATATATTAATCCACTGTCTTATGTTTCCCACTGTCTCATTTAGACAGTTATAATAAGAATAATAAGGTATTACACAATAAGGATAATTTACCACACAAATAGCTTTCATATAAATAATTATAAATTAATAAACTGATTTAAAATTTTCGCACAAGAGAAATTACCAAAACTAAAAATATTTGTCATATCTTTTGTATGTAACCAAATATACATAAATCCACGACCAAATCTTAATTTCATTAACATGAAATAAATATTCCATGAACTCAAATTTATATAAGGAATATTAAAATGATTCAATACTGACCGTGTTATATATAAATCTTTCAAATTTTGTTGCCTAATTGAACATTTTTAGAGCAATCTAATATTTATTTAGTCTTTTTAATGGACATTTATATATTTCACTAATACATATTTCAAGGTAATCTAACTACTTTGTGTGTTATAAAATAATCCCAAGTGTTATTTTGTCCCAAATTTACCAATTTGGTGAAATTCGATTATTATCAAAAATGAAAATTGAATTAAAAGAGCATCTCGATTGAAAAATTTCACCAGATTTATCAATCTACTTCATTTCTCTCTTTATTTTTGTTTTCTTATTACTAATACTTCACTTTTTTAACGAATTTACATGTCTTTTTATTGCAATAAAGCTATCAGGTTAAACAGACTATAAGCGTTTATATATCAAATATTAAATAAATATATATAAATATTTATATATAAACAAATATATTTCGAAGTCATATATTCAAATAACACAATTGCTCGTTAAATTAATGCTACCACCACCGGCATTCATTGTGATCATACCTTTACAGTATTTTCATTGAAACTGCACTCAAGTGACAGCGAACAGCTGATATAAATTGTTGAGTTGTCTTTTACTTTATTTGCGTATATTTGCCAAGTGCTCAAGTGTTTGCTAATAACAGAAAAGATTTGTGCACATAAAATATAATTTTGTATTGTTGTTAAGATGGAAAAAATATTAGTAACAGGCGGTACAGGATTGGTAGGAAAGGCACTCGAGGAAGTGACAAAAACAGAAAAACAAATAAATGAAGTATGGTATTTTGCCGGCTCTAAAGATGGCGACCTCACGTAAGTGTTTCTAAAATGTTAATAAAATTCAAGTTGAATATTTTTAATTTCCAGAAATCTGGAGGAAACAGAAGCGCTCTTCCAACGCATCAAGCCTACTTGTGTGATACATTTGGCAGCTATGGTTGGAGGCTTGTTTCATAATATGAACAACAATTTGGATTTTTTGGTAACAAATTATTTTGCCAACAAAAAAGGAAAACATTTTTTAAGCAAATATTTTATTAGCGTGAAAACATGAAAATAAATGACAATGTGCTACACACAGCATATAAAAGTAATTGCAGCAAAGTAGTGTCTTGCCTATCAACATGCATATTTCCAGATAAAACCACATATCCTATAGATGAAACTATGGTTCACAATGGCCCGCCACATCCCTCAAATTATGGTTACTCTTATGCGAAACGCATGATCGATATCGCAAACCAAGCATATCATGATAAATATGGTTGTAAATTTACTTCAGTCGTTCCATGTAATATATTTGGTCCATATGACAATTATAAGCCTGAAGTGAGTCATGTTATTCCTGGCATGATACATCGTATGCACAAATTGATTAACAGCGATACAGATATTAGTGAAAGTGAAAAGGTTTTTACTGTTTTTGGCAGTGGTAAGCCTTTGCGTCAATTTATTTACTCTTTGGATTTGGCAAGGTTGATTATGTGGGTGCTCAGAAGTTATGAGAGCGTTCAACCTATAATTTTAAGTGTAGACGAAGCACAAGAAGTATCTATTTATCAGGTTGCTGAATCAATTGCAAAAGCATTTAATTTTAAGGTAAGAACATATTTATATTAAAATTTCAATAATAATAAAATTTGATCTACACCAATTAAAAATATTCAGCAAAATTCATAAATCAAATCAACTGTCCATCTCCTAGTGTAACGATTTGTTTAAACCTCAGTCTATTCGGTGCTTCTCTGGAAATATCGTTATATTCCTACTAAATTTTGAACTCTACGTTTTAATATTTTTTGCCATGTCATGGTTATTCCACCAAGGCGCCTTGCAACTATAATTCACTCAGACTCACGCAGATGTTTGAAAATTATCATATCTGTACAAAATCATCTAAATAACTTATCAGTAAAAATGCTTAAGACACTAACTTGAGTTTAATCTAGAAGAAGAATTAGGTTTTATAGTTAAATAAATTGATTATTTGAAATTTATACTACTTCTCTTATGAATAATTAAATACACAATATAAACTTTTTAAATATATTTCAAGATTCAAAAAGATGTAGAGTGTATAGATTCTCAAGAACAGTCTGCATTATCTCTGTTGTTGTTACCTATATCGTTCTGAATTTCCTACGAACATTGACACTAAAAGTTGATGTAATAGATATCAGTTTAAGCCTAGTAGTTATAGTTTAAAATACACTTTTTGCATTAGCTGTGACTTTTCTGCGAGTTTTTAAGCTCATCATAGAAGTCGGGTCGAGGCTAAACCGTCGCGCTATCCAAAATTTTCATATTAATTCAGTCGATTATTTTTAATTCTTTTTTGGTTATTCATAATAACTGTATTTAATTATAAGATATAATGGATAGTGCTAATATATATCAATTTATATAGGACTTAGATCAAATCAATTTCACTTACTTCCAAAGTTTATTGTAAACTAAGAGTGGCTACTCTTTGCTTTTTTTCCTTTATTATAACTTAAATGTTAACTGTGCTTCCTTCAGTATCTTGAAACTTGTCCAACATATTCAACTGTTATAACTGTCATAGTTGCAATTTAAAATATTAATTTCTTTCTGTTTTAATATTAATTTTTAAATTATTATTAATCAATTATTCTTTTAGGGTAAAATTGTTTGTGATACAACTAAGGCTGATGGTCAATACAAGAAAACTGCTTCCAATGCTAAACTACGTTCACTGCTACCAGATTTCAAATTCTCTGATTTTGAAAAATCAATCAAATCATCAGTGGATTGGTATATTGAAAACTACGAGAATGCGAGAAAATAGTAAATTTAAATTTTTTGATATTAACTTAAATAAATTTTTATACATTTAAAATTGTTATTTTTCAAAAACGCGGTGTATTAATTTTTTTTTATTCCTGCTGTTAAAAGCAACATTCAAAATTTCTCTTACCTTTACGTCTTCATTTGAAATCACATATTAGCTATTAAGAAAAAAAAGAAATTGTTTATGGATGACGTAAAAGGTACAGTTTTTATCTTTTACCTTTTCTGTTGACCTGTCCAAACGCTCGTTGTGAAATATAACACTGCTCCATACTTTGCGTAAAGGAATAGTCATACTAACTGTTCAAAGAGTTATGTTCTAGTCTTTAAATTAAAAAAATCTAGTGAACTGTGTGTAAAGTTAGAATCTAGTTGAATAGCTATTTTAAATGAACTATTTAGATGAACTAGATATACAGATTCGTGAATAATGAAAGCTCAGAAGAAAATAATAGCAGACAAAAATCAACTATAATGGATTAACTCTATTGTATTCACATTATATAGTTTTAATCCTGATTCATCATATGATGTTTATTTATATTTTGTAAATATCTCTATTGTACTCACTACAAAAGCTTCATATTTTTCTTATTTCAAGACTATATAAAAGTATAAGTAACGGATTTTTTGATTGAATTAAGGTGTTAACTTTGTAACATAAAATTTACGTTCATAAATTTTACAACAGAAAAATATAATACAAAAAAAAAAATATATAATAATAAAATAAAACATCAAAACAATAATAAAACTTGTAAACAACACACCGTTGTAATTACAAGAACAAATCTACTGTTTGCTTCGCACCTCGCGGATATAAAAGGCGAAGCAAAAGCACAAGAAAGACATTCAGCGAGGTATCAAACTAAAGAACAGGTCGCTCCATAATATACGTGCTGAAACATCATCGAGATGTAAACAAACATCTCGATTCCCATTTGTATTTTATTTAATAGAAATACACATTTCTATTAAAATAATTATTACTAACGAAATTAACATTTCGTTAGTAGTAATAGAAATATAAGTTTCTATTACTTATTTATTCGTAACAAATCAAATATTCGTTAATAAATTACTCGGTAAGGTGATAATTGCACATGAGTATTATCACCCATACCAAATCCATTGCAGAGAGAAGAAATTCACATTTCTTCAAAACACATTGTCAGGGGCGTTGAAATTAACATTTCTAAATCAAATCCATTGCATAGAGAAGAAATTCACATTTCTTCAAAACACATTGTCAGGGGCGTTGGAAATTAACATTTCTACGCCAAACCAACTAACTTCACCGAGGAAGATAACCACATCATTGCACCAACGCCACCGTCCACCGGGTATTCAAACTTTCCACTGCTCCTTTCAAATAAATTTATTGTAGGACTGGACCTGGAATCCGGCGAGCAAAACCCCGGCCAGAAAGGTTCGTTACAACTTTTTTCTCTTCTTATTTTGAGTTGAACTGCTTTTTTTCCGTTTCTTATTCAAATATGACAATTAACTTTAAACAGTAAAAGAATCTTATTCTTGTATTTAGTCCGGGTCTTAGCTTTTTCTTTTCTTTCTTATTAAAAGACGATATTCTACTACAAAACCATAACGAGTGTGGCTCTTGTATCGATTGAAGATGTTAGCTTTCAGTTCACTTTCTTGTTTAAGTAAGATTTTTTAGTTAAAAAAGCAGGATCACAGCATGTTATGTGGATTCAAAGTATTACTTTGTTTAGACTCAATATTTCAAATACTTCTAGGTTAGGTTAGGTTTGAGTGGCGGTCTTCTTTCAAGAGTCCACTTAAGCGCAAATAATCGCCCGTTGTATTACAATACGATCAATGTCTATACATGCGCCGACTATAGACCAGCGTACGAGCAATGCCGAAAGGCACGACTCCTCCAAAAATAAACCAACGTCACAATTCTATAAACTTGGCTAAATCCTTAATTTTGTTCGAAAAACTTTAGATCTTTTCCTAGCTAAAGCTGTACATTGTATCATATGGTGGAGTGCACTTTCCTTCTCATCCGTAGAGTCACAACCTTAAGAAAATCCCCTGACTTTTGAAAAAATTAGAAATGCAAAATTTTATTTATTAAAAATTTTCTTTATTTACGAGTAAAATTTAAATTAGAAACTAAGTTTAAACACATTTTTTATTATACAAGTACAACATGATTATCTCAATATATAATTGTTTAATTATAATATAAATATTTGTAGTACAGTGTAGAATAAGTTTAAGTTTATATCGATAAAAGCAAAAGGCATAAAGTAGCGCTCATAAATTTAAAAAGAGTTTTCTGCTTGAAATTGTATTGCAAATCCCTAGACAAAGGAGGCGTTAACTGCTGACAACCATAAACTTCTTACGCTAAAAGAAAAATAATCTCAAAATTCTTAATTGGCAATGTGGGTCGAGTGAATTTCAGCGAGTGAAGGAAGCCTTAACTTACGATTAAAATATTTTACAAATTGTTTATATAATGTTTAACTTTTAACTTATTCATTTGTTTATGTTACGAGTGAATGATATGATATGACAAGGAGCCGAGCGCTCCTCGACAGAGGGAAGTTGAAAGTTGAGGAAGTAAATATAGACAATGGATGAATTGACCAATAGTAATTAAATAAATTTTGGAAGTACGCGTATGTGTTGTGAACGAAATGCTGCAGAAGAGCTGAGCTGGTGGTGGCCAACATCAGCTAATTTGCAACTAAGAAGGAAACATCGAAAGTGATCATATAAATAAATAGTCAAAATGAATAAAAGAGGATAGTAAAGAACACTGAGAGGTGTCAGGAGTAAATGAAGAATTAACATCTAATTTGAGTACGGGAGTTCAACTAAAACACAAAAAAGCCTAAGAAATTACACAAATTTTTTTTTTCTCTTCTCTTCCGGTATTTCTAGTGTACGTTTAACTAACACGATTATTTCCTAAAATAATGACGTTTGATTTAATTTCTTTAATTTTAGACTTGTTCACAGGTAAAGGGTGCGGTTGAGGCGCTTAAAATCTCTTCAGCAACAAAGGCTTGTTTCTATCGGCGAACGCTGTGTTGATCCATTTAACATCAGGTTTGCTGAAACGCACAACTTTGCCTTCACCGCAGCCATTTTCCACGCTGTAGACACCCTTTAGACGTACACTGGAACCAGTACCGCAAGCAAGAGCGCTGCCAATATCAAATTCGCATGAATCGAATTGTGTGGCACTGCAAACACTAGTACTATCAGCACCACAATCGCTGCGTGACACTGGTGAAGTGCCAGTCACATGCATTATTGCACCTTCCTCATGAACTACGGAAAAAAAAGAGTTGTTCAAGTTAATCAAGCTAAGGAACTATATTTGTAATTATAATTTAATTGCTTACTTTGTAAAGCTTGTTTGCCCCAACCAGTTGTCACACACTGTTCGGATGGACTGGGATCTTCGTCGCTGATGCAAATAGGTTGTACGTGTGTAGCGAATTCAAAACGTTTATCCAAGCGTATGATAGCCATATCGTTAGCACCAGTTGAGGGATTGTATTCGGGATGTGTATCAATTGTTTTTGCACCAACCAATTGGAAAGGCAATGGTTCTGCTGTGCTACCCAGTTCCCATTCACCAGCCTTGATACGTACATCACGTACATTTACACTGAAATAGAGAAACAATTCCCATTATTATGGTTGATATGGTTGTGCTTTATTTAGAAAATATTTTTAAAATTGAATGATTCCTAAAATTTCTTTACACTCCAAAATTAACAATTTTTGATAGACTAAGACTGTTCAGAACATTTCATATTTAATTTCAATTCATTATTTAAAAAAGGTTTATTAATTCTAATTGATGTAATTTCTAATAAAGTGTTACTGTTGTTGTCCTTTTAGAAACCCTGAACGTATAGGAATAAATTAAAAAGACACTTAAGGGACAGGACGGGATGAAAGTCTATTTGTAAAAAAATAAAGTGTAATGAAGAATGAATGAAGTAAAAATATACTCAGAGGATAAGATGGAATGGAAGAGGTGTCGGAAAAATATTTGGGAAGATAGAGTTTATGATTACTGTCAGGCTAAAAGCATTGATTTTATATTACTATTGTCTAGGAACCCACTTTAAACTACAGAATGAAAAGTTCAACATTTACTGAAAGTTATAGAAAATTGGAGAAACAAGAAACTGTGACACACTTCCGCTGTGGCTGAATAGCTTTAGCAAATAGAAGAAACAGATTTCTGGGAAAGTTGGACTGCTCATCAGTAAAAATAAAAGACTACAGATCTTTCAGCTGATTTAGCAGATCTTTACATATTAAGCAGTTACAAATTAAAATGGATGGATCTAATTTATTTATTTATGCTTCTTTTTATCTCGTTCTAAAAACTATTCATAGATTTTTAGACAACGATATATTTTATACTGAATATTGAATTCAGTATTTTTTATTCAATAAAAAGTTTTTTCTGACAATATTATTAATAATCCAACTTTAAATTCAATTGATCATATTTCAATATCTAATATAAAAAACAGGATAAGCATATTCATTTTATCATTATCCTTTACTATACATTAATTTTTATTAGTCTTCCTCACAGATAAATAAATAAATAATTCTCATCCCGTTCAATTAACATAGTAAATCTCTACAAATTCAGAACATGGGCCTCTTAAGCCCATGTTTTCATTTATATAACACATATCCTTATATATCCGTAAAAAACTACTAATTCTACACCATTTAGTCAGTAAATCTGGATGTACAGAATACAGCACTACTAACTTAATATCCATCAAAATGTAACCACTTACCCATTCACGCAAGACGCAGTGGTTAAAACAAATTCATCACCAATGATAGCACCACCACACAATAAAGTTTTTGAGGATTCCTTCAAGATCATTGCTTGCCATGGGATTTCAGCGAAGTTGGCGTCAATATCCTTGACACCAGTTGGTTTGGTTCTCTGTTAAAGTACACAAATGTGGAACACATTAGTTAAGTAAACTATATACACCACATTTACTATAAATACTCACCTTATTTCTGGTAGCGCAGACACCAGCCAAGTTAACGGGCCATGGATCAACGTAGTTCGAGTCGCGACAACATTTGCCAGGTGCACCAGAGTCAGGCAACAAACAATCGGTAAGTGGTACGCGGAAGGCAGCTTCGATAGGTGTGAGATCGACTGGAGTATCAGTAATGACACCAATGGTGTTACAATAATTCTCTGGTGTGCAAACTAAAGCCGAAGCGCATTTAGCATAATGTTTGGGCAAATCGAAACCTTTTTGTGTGGGGAAAATTTGTGGTGACAAAATATCTTCACCTCGTATTGGTTTTCTTGTTGGGGTGCGTGTCACGGGTTTGATATTGGATGGTTGTGGAATTTCATTATCTTGTACAGGTGGTAAATATTCATTAGTGGGTCTAGTTGGACGGTAAGCAGGCTGTGTAGGTTGTGGACGATAGGCAGGTTGTGTGGGTTGTGGACGGTAGGCAGGTTGTGTAGGCTGTGGACGGTAGGCAGGTTGTGTTGGTTGTGGACGGTAGGCAGGTTGTGTGGGTTGTGGACGATAAGCAGGTTGTGTGGGTTGTGGACGGTATGGTGGTAAAGTGGTTGTGGGTGCTGGATTGTAAGTGGTAGTTGGTGGACGATAGAAAGGTTGTCTTGTTGTTGTGGGTGGTTGACGATAAACTTGTGGTGGTGTGGTTTGTGGTGGACGATAATAGCCTGGTGTTGTTTCTGGTACTGGTGGATTTGTAGGTGTGGGCAAGGGGAATTTCTTAGCTGGTGTCTTCAAAACATAACCATCTTCGGTTAAAGTTGTGGAAGGCATACGACAACATACCTCAGGTGCATAACAACGATCAGACTGTAATGAAAAAAGTAAAGTGGTGTAAATTATTGTGGTGAATAAGTAATTTATATTTTGTTTATAAGGAAACTTAATATATGCTTTTTTTTTAAATAAAATGTTTGTTTATATAAAATAAAAAAACATGATTATGTTTATTATGGTTTTAATTATTCAACTTAAAATTTTGCACTTTTTGACCTTTGTCTTTCATAGTTTCTAGGTGAACAATTATTAACACTTAACGGACTTGTGCAGCCATAGGTGGCAATCAATTTCAAGCATTTGGATTGCCTCCGACACATCGCTTGCCGAGTCCATGAGTTTTCAGATGCGTTTACCTCGACATGCACTTTAGAAGTTCTGCTCATTTGAGTATTCAAGTATTTTTACTGCCAATAAATGCAGTTGCGTAGTGCAATGCTCCATGAAAAACATTTTCTGTTAACACAGAAACGGGCAGTTTTAAAAATGCGACAAATTATTGCGATTGCTTGAAAATTCTTTGAAAAGCTGTTTTGACTACCCGTCGGAAAGACTACTTCAGTTTGTGAAGTGTTAACATGCCATAGCTGACGTTGGTAACCCAGTTTGGGTTTCTCGTTATAAAGAACTTAACAAATCGGACTTAAAAAATCATACTCAGTTTGTAACTTAAGTCTTTCATATAAATTTTTATTAGTCTATGTATTTTAACGTCATTTCCTTTTCTAGAATGACCTGTGATTATCAGGTCAAGCATATTTTATTAATATTATAATCCGTAATTTAATATATACTTATACTCAGTGTAAAAAGTTTCCTAATCAAAACCAATTTAATAACAATATTGTACATTAAGTCCGAATAAATTAACTTTTAACCGTTTTCATGGTTTCTTAATTTAATAAATAATTATTTGAACGCTTAAGCATTTAAATTAATGTAAAAATTAAGTACTCAAGTATTTAGTAGCACGCAAATTACTTTTATTGTTATTACTTGTAATGAGACTACCAACACTCAGTGTCAAAGATTGGCCAGGTTCGGTGGCATTGGCACGAGTTCAGTAGAAAAATTCTTCAAATCTGACCTTTCTTGAAGAATTTTTAGAAAATGTATACAATTAAATATATTTTATATTATTATTTTTTATTACATTTTTCATTATTATTATTATTTTTATTATTATAATTTTTTAATATATATTTATAAAATATCTGTATCGATATATGATAAATACTAATGGTAGTATAGCTTTCGGAAGACAAGATCTTAAGATTAGGCTCGTTGTGAGGCACTAGCTGGCTGTAGGAGATAGGGATATACCTATTGTGAATCCAAAAACTTCATTATAAGATCGATTAAGTGATGCCATAATAGACGCTTGGCCGTAACTTAGAATGCACATAAGCATATCAAATTTTTATTATGATCAAATCTTCTAGTTGTGAGATGAATAACACCAACTATTTATGTCAACTACATATCTATTATATTGATTCGTTTGTCGATATTCTAGTTTTAAGTTGGCCTTCTTGGAGAATATACCCATTCGAGGGACACAAATAAAATCACATTGTTCTCTTTCCTTGTCTTCCCTTGTAAGCATGTGATGAGAAAAATAATGAACAAGTGATGAAGGTATATTATATTATACGTATTAATAGGCTCAAGCAATTAAGTTCATATATATTATATTCTGAATTATATATTATTAAACAGACTGATTAGTCAATTACTTAAATAATACACAACTTTTGAAATTATTATTAAAAAATATATCTAATTGCTACCAATATTTCGACTGTAATCGATAGTCATTTTCAAGGTACAATATAATACCAATTCGTATATTTTTTAATAATAATTTAAGAAGTATTGTATTATTATGTATGTATTATTAATGTATTAAACATTGACTAATTAATATATATAGTAATATATAAGTAAAATTTGGTCATTAAAACAATTTATTCATATTTATATGATATTTAAAATTATTTAAATATTTATTTAAAATTAAAACTTTATGTTGAAACTTTTATTTAATTATATTTTTAAATAATTGTTTTATTTATATTCATTTTTATTATATTGTTTTTCTATCTGTCAAATATATTTCACTTTAGTATTATTTATTTAATTTAATTAATTCCTTTAATTTAATTTATTTTATGAATTCAATTTATTAATATATATTTATTTTAATTGTAGTTTGTTATTACTATGTTTTTGCTAATATATTTTAATAAAAAATTATATATTTTTTATTCATTTATATAAATAATAAATTTTATATATACATTTATATATATTAATTCATATTTATAGATATATAAAAAATTTATTCATTTATATATATTTTAATTATATTATGCATTTTTGGCTAAATATTAAACATATTTCTATAACACATTATTTATTTACTTTATTGATAAAATTTGTTTATATATAATTATTTTAATTATAATATATATTAATAAAAATATATTTCTTTGTTTAATTAAAGTTATTTATTTATATTTATCTTTTTTATATTATACATTTTTGGCTATCTGTCAAATATATTTAAATATAACAATGCATACATATTTAAATATTTATTTTATATTAATTTATTTATAAATTTTTTTTTATATAATTTTTTTCGCGATCTTTTGTATGTTAAATAAATCTAAAAATAACAATGTTTATATATTTAATATTTTAAAAGTTATTACTAATATATTTACATATTTTTACTTATGTTTATTTTATTTATCTAATTTTTTATCTCATGTGTTAAATAAATTTAAATATAACACAATAACACAGTTTCCTTCCTTCAATCATCATTCAATGCTTCCTCTAATAAATCAACTGGATTTTTTAGAATATTTCAAAACAGTTATTTTTATTTAAATGACCATAAATTAAACACTTAAAGTATCTATTAGTTATGTATTTGTATCTTTGACCAATGCAATATCTTATATAATTTGTATCTATGAAGCACACACACCCAACACGAGATAAGATCTTTTAATTTATAGAACTTGTTTCGGTGTCAAATTATTTATGATGAATTAAATCAGTAACCGTTAGCGTAAAGATTGCGGTTTTTTGAATTATTTTTGAATTAAAATAAATTTATATTTGTATTAAAATTAATTTATTTTTCTATTAAAATAAATTTCAAACTTCTTGCAAGAAAAGGTTAAGGCTTTGATATTGATTATTGATATGACCAAATGTGTTGGAAAGATGAATATCAAATTAAATGAACAATAAATAAATAATTACAAAATAAAAAAAAATTGATGTTTTTTTAAATCGATATTTTGTTCAGATAAAAAAAAATAAACTAAATTATTTAATTGATAGCAATAACACTGAGATTGAAATAAGTATAATTAATATAATTAATTATATATATATTACATATATCATATATAAATATGTTATGTATATGTTATATTCTATATAATTTAATATATTTATACTATATTAGATAATTATATATAATTATATTTTGGAATTAATATATATAGTTAATATTATAACACAAAAACACAGCAATTGATTTTTTCTTATCCTGATTAAAAAATATTTAACTAAATAATTTCACTAAAGATGATGAACCTAATATTCAAAAAACTATATTGGTATAATTTATAACATATAAATATTAAATATTCTCAATTATTATATACATATATGATCTTGTTATATTCTATGTCCAGGCTTGTTTAAAACCAGGCCTAAGCCATGGAGTGTCCCTGTTTTCAACACTCTCGTCGATATTTCTTTTACCAATAATTTTGAAGAATTGTGGAATCAAAAACGACTTTCTAACTAATTGAAGAAGACTCTTTCCTCCCTCCATTTCATCTCACCTAATCAATGCTACAATTGGCGTACACAAATATCTCAATGAGATGTCAAATGCTAGACATAGCTTATAATATACAATAGAAATAAATTAATGGTTTATATACCTGGTTTCTTACTCGGCATTATAAACTCATTAAAAATCGGTATGCATTTTTATTTGTTTTCCAAATAGATCATATAAGGAACTCAGCGAATTAATTCAATTAAGACACTGTTTGTCTATCGCTATTTTAAGTGATAGTCTTGAAGTGGAAGCCAAATGAGTTAATGACGCAGAGTACTGTCAGATGCCAGATATCTTATCTCATCTTATCTTATCATCTTATTACTTTGTGTATACATGCCAGTTTTATATTGATATACAGTTTATATGATGATCTTACGATGACATAAGCCACCATCTATTCATTAATAATCTAATTTTTATTTAAAGTATCATTCGAATGAATGGCTTCCTTTCACACACATAAAACAACAACTTTCTTAGATTAACTTAAATTGGTTTATTGTGTTTACATAAATTATAAAACATTAAATTATACGATAATATTTTTTTTTTCATTAACTGCTTTATAATTAACAACAAAAAGTTCATTTTTATAAATAAAGAAAACCTATTAATTGCTAATAATATTTAGAATAAAATAAATGAATTATTAAAAACTACATATATTATTAATTAGCTTCATTAAATTTTTAAAGCTACTTTCTAAAACAAATATAGTAGATTATGACCTAATCTAGTCAATGAATTAATTTTCAAAGGTAAGCAAACTAGAAGTCTTTTAAGTTGATTGCCATTACTACAAAGAGGAAACGTTTAAATTGTAGAGAAATCCAATGCTTTGGATATAGAAAACCAATCATCACCGAAGCCAATTGACATTTTCACAAACTATTTGTATAAATCTTATTTTATTAGACATTACCAACGATTAGACCATGGTAATTATCTTCCATTTATGGCAGACTAAGAAGTACTTACTGTAGATTTTATTAATTGAAAGTTATTAATGGCAATAATATATTTTAAAAATTATTTGCATATAAAAAAAATTTTTCCTATATAAAAATTATCAATTAATTTTTTAAATATAAATTTTTTTAGCATTTGTTTTTTATAGTTTTTCAATAATTCTTTTTTAGTAATTTTTTCAAGTATT